GGAAGAAGTTATTGGAGGAAACTTTGGTTGCTACAGTAGAGTGACTAGGTGGGAAAAAAAAAAATCGAATTCTGTTTCAGCAACAACAAAAATGTACATTGGTCTTGCAGAAATTCAAGCTTAACAATCGACATTTGATTATGCTCAGTTGGCAAAGGCACATTAGCTGGGCTGGAAAAGCCCACGCGCTCGAACTTTTTAATATGAACTTTTGAACATGTTGAAAATAAATCCGGTGAAAGGGTTTTAATTTGTACAGCCTCTGAAAATAGGACAAGGCAAAAACCATTGCTGATGAAAAAAAGACAACAAATGTGCATCTTGCGATTTGCCAAACGATATCTTGATAAGCAAGACTTTTTGAGAAATATTTTGTAGACTGACAAGACAAAAGTTGCTCTTTTTGGAAGGTGTATGGCCTGTTACATCCAGCTTAAAAAAAGTACACCATGCCAAAGGAGAAACGATGTCGTGGTCTGGGCCTGCTTGGCTCATTCAGGACCTGGACGACTTACTGTGTGTGATTACTGCAGCCGGGTCATCATTTTGTCCACCTCAGAATGACCCTCACCCACAGCCCCCCACTGTATTGTCTGCCACGTGGTCCACCCTTGTAGCTTTTGCAAGATCCTGGTTTTCCTTCCCGTTTTCTCTTCACACCCACATACTCGGTCCCCACTGCTCCATAAATCCATCCGTCCATCCATCCATCCATCTATCTATCCCATTTGTCGCTGCTCTCAGTGGAACACTTGAGCTATTTATAAAATCATCAAAGCCCGCAGCTTCCAACGGCACAAGAGAGAAGAGGGGGGGGGACGGAGTGCGAGATGGGGGGGCCCCCAAGCATAGAAGGAAAGAGGCCGGGGGACATTGACAAGTTCAAGAAAGATTGAGGCAATCGGAGAAGCCGTGTCGTGTGTGTCAATCACAGAGGGAGAAGACAGCGGATCACAAAACGAAATCTGGGTAAACAGAAAAGAGGAAAACAAAACAAAACAGAAGCTATCCGCTCCCCTTTGCCTTGGGAACTCAATCGATGTTTGTGAGCGTGGGAGGCATGTTTTTTAGACCCCGGTGCCCACACAGGTTAGAGCCGTGGAAGCACCTGAGATGTGAGAGGCACTACCGATAGACAGCAAGCGTTTGCAAATGTTCACTTAGTCATTTGAACCCGGACGGGCTGGCAAAGTCATATTTTAAGAATCCAGAGGAAGTGTGGGCACCGTGCCCACCAGCGGCTCCGCGGTTAATGGCAAACACAAGAGACGGGCGATTAAACTTCAAAGACACTCTTAGTCAGAAGGAAGAAGAAACAGACCTTCAAGATAAAGATTGAAAAAAAAAATCGACTGAACGTGTGTGCTCATAGCTGAAGCAAAGAACGCAGTGATGGGCTTGTTTTAAGTGCATCTCCACTCCCACGTCATTTATCTCGTCTCGTTTCGCCTCATTTCTATACCACTTCTTGCCTGTCCATTATCTCCTTTGCCGGAAAAAAAAAAATGATTAAAAAAATCTCATCCGCCATCTCCGGCTCGAGTGTCGTTGCAGCATGTACCTCTCGCGCTCGTTTCTCACCAGCTGCCTCGCTGGACTTGCGCTATTTTTGTCAATTTATTGTGGAACTGTCAGATTGCAGAAAGCAGCCGCTTCACTTACACAGAAGGATTTCCAAGAACATCCTCACAAATGATCCATTATTTGTCATACCAAAAAAAAAAAAAATGTAGCCTTTTATGCTATGCTGTGAAGGGATTACTTTTAGAATGTAAAGCGGCGTGAAATTCATGATGGAAATCCAGCAGGTTTTTTTTTTTTTTTTTGGGCTCTCAGAGGACACTTCACATGTCTTGTGATCCTTTGAATTTCATTTTCATTTCATCTGCTTCCTACAACCGTTTGGTATATTCTCCATCTTCCCCGTTGTGATTTTCACGCATCGGTTTGCCTTTGAGAGAGGATCCGCGAATGTCGAACACCCCCTGAAGACATACGGTGGGGAATTTGTCCACCCGCGGGTGTGTTTTTTTTCTTTTTTCTTTTTGTTATTTGGGGTTTTTTTTGGGGTGCTTTTTGTGGCCTTTTTTCCTCGAAAAAAAATCCATTTGTCATTTATGAAAAAGTGTTTCTTTAGTTTTTACAATCCTATCAATAGTTCATTTTAGACTTGTACAACCCTTAACATTGTCCCCGAATTTCTTTTTTTTCAAGCTTAATTAACTTTTATGTTCTTTTGCAGCTCTTCTATATCTCCATAACTCGGAACTCTTTCCAAGCTCCTTCACCACCCCCCGATCCTCCCTTCACCCGACCCACACATCAGTCCCTCTTAAGCTCTCAAAAGGGAACATTTGCCCAGGATGAATGCAACAGTTGGACCAGTGGAGGACACTTGACAGCCTGTTAACCACTAAAACTCAATGTGAACACAGTCGTTTTAAAATTTCACACGTTAAAACACACACACGTAACCAGTCGCAGCATGCAGTCACTCAATATGTTCTCACAGTTTGTAATAGCGTTCAACACATGCACTCACACACACGTCACAATGGGCCCGATTTCCAGATAGGGAGCACTAATATGCTTCGTGGCCTCATTTTTGGTTTCTGGCATTTCAAAAATCGAGAGATCACATGGCCCTGTGCTACGTCGATCTATTTGCATCTACTCCTCCCAACAACGCTGGCGGATGCACTCCTGGATGCGTACGGTTTGAAGATCAGCTTCCACATCTATCTGAGAGCAATCGAGTCGGCGTCCATTTTTTGTCTGCGCCAATCTTTTTAGCAGATCAGGCTTAATCTGCTAATGTCGTATCAAAAACATCCAAACACATTTTATAATTACTCACCACCAGGGTTTCCGTTTACTGCGTGTGTTCCGTAATCGGACACAAGGAGAATTTGCGACTGAAGCTGAGGGCAGCGGCTGCCCGCAAGCGGTGTCAAAGGCAATGTTGCTTTTTCGAACCAGCAAGTATTGTTGTCAGTGGATCTATTTCTCAGAGGAGCCTCCGTGCGAAACTTATTATCTCACGAAATAAATAAACCAACGGGCAATCAAATCTCTCCAATTTTCTTCTGTCAGAGACATAAATTGAGGAGGAGGACCACATTCTCACACTCGGTGCTGAATGCCCACTCTGCATGTCGGCGACTTGTTGACAGTAGCAACAATACGAAGAAAGAGAAAGAATCAGTCTGAAGCGGCAACAGTGCACACACACACACACGATACAAAAGCCAAAGGTGCGCAAACCGCTATGCAACATCGTTTTGATTCCTATTCGCTTTTCAGAATAACGAACCTAAAATAGAGGCGACGAGCTTGATGGGAAGATGAAGGCATGCTGAATTTCGAATGATCAAAAATATAGTTTGGGCTTGTTTGCGAATCGAGTGGGTTGACGCATGGCCTCATTTACCAGCTGCGTTCACGCTTCCAGTCTTGCAGGTAAGCAAAGTATCTGCTGCCTTTTGTATCTCACGCGTAGCATTCATGACATTTTTTAACCTTGGATCAAAAGTTGTCCAATTACATATTAAGAGAGTTCCTCATTTGCAAAGTCGCAGAGACGCCGCAGTGAGACGGCACATTTCAACTGTTGCCCTGTCATGGCTTTCATTATTTCCTTCTACTTTTTTTTAGTCAATGCTTTTTGCTCCACGCGGCGTTCGCAGTCCATCTGATAGTTCATTTGCGCTTTTACCGCGACACACCTCGTCAAGCGATCTCGGCCCGCTTATGATGCTTGCGTTGGCCTCATGAGCAAAGAAATATATAGAATCATTTTTTTTTCTCCTTCCATCCCAATCTCCAATATAATTCCCAGTTACCCCTCTCCGCCTACAACACTGCCTTCCTTTCCACGCAAACTGAGAAACCCCCGCCCACCCCCCCTCCCGCAGTGCAGCGGATGCATTCCGAAAGGACACGATTGACGCACCACATATTCGCCCCGGCTAATTATCAGCTATCACACCGCTGTGCCGAACAGCCGGCGCTGCTTCCAGCTTACGGCATATAGGCAGTTGTGTTCCACTGTTGCTAGGAGATGTGAAAATCCTTGACTACATCCACTTGATGATTAAATAACATTTTATATGGATAAGGCACAGCCATATTATCGGCTACGTGCGTCCCTGTGCGTTTGTTAACATTTGTGAGCTGAAAAGGAGGGTTGCCAGTTGTCCAGATGGGAGATGAGGGCACCAAAAGAAGAAAGCAGGAGAAAAAAAATGCAGCAGACGGAAGTATTTGACACAAATACACAGAGAAGGCTTAAAGGAGATCAGAGCTGACTCGGCGCAGATTCTCACCCTTAGAATTGTGCAAACCGCTTTTCTTCTTTTTTTTTTTTTTTGACGAGGACGTCACAAAGGATAGATACCAAGCAACAACTAAAAGTCGTATACGCCATGAATGGAAACCAAAAAAAAAACCTCACTTTCGCTTTTCAAGCATGTTGGAAGCACGTTCTTCTCGAGATCGACAGCAGGCAGACAAAGTGCCTCGGTTGTCAAATGGTGAAATTAGCATTGCGGCTGTTCATTCCCTCCAAATCATTGAACCTCCACCTCCAGTTTGACCCTCTGTGTGACTCAATAATCAAGTCCAGCCTCCGCTTCCAGACTTGGGCCTCCACCGGCATACTGTTTTGCACACGCTGCTTCCTTACTCATCCACCATTGAGCAAATGTTCCCGTGAGCATCTCGGCGTTAGGATCTCGCAAATCTAAAACGGGTTTGTCACTTGCAAAGCGCTTCGCACTGACTTCTCATGCGCCTACTGAAAAGGCGGTAACAGAAGCAACTGAGGAGGTTCATTATCTTGCTCAAGGACACGGGGCTTGAACCCACAACCTGGGAGACGACCATTGAGCCATGCCGTTGACAACTGATTGACATGCATGGTTGCAAGTATGTGCTACAAAAACTTTGAAATTGTGAGAGGGGAGCGGAAGGTGTGTGGGGGTAGGGTGGTTTTCTCCTACCTTGACATTGGAATCCTTGCTTGCCAAAACCCCTGTGAAGAGAAGACACACACACAAGTCACAGGTTGGAAAATTGTCCAGGCATTGTCGCACACAATCATGCAAACCGATATGTGTGGATGTTGATTTTTATTTTATTTTATTTTTTTTAATCTCCCAGGATGTGTGCAATCACACTCAGCACTCTCATTGTCCTTGCTCATGCCACGCTTCTTCTGGCTCAAGTCTTGCCCCCATTATCAAATGAAAACGGCATCATCACGGGGCTTGCATAATTGCGGCGTCGGGGATAACACACAACCAAGCTAAAAATAAAGGTGTGCAAATCAGGGCAAAGTGGAGAGAGAAATTAATTCAATCACTGGAGTGCCACCCTGGTGGGCTGAGGACATCGAAACAATTGGAGGAAGCGATCGAAGGGTCCGCTTGTGTCAGCGGTTGAAGTCGTCAGTTATGTTTGACTGTTTTTGTTGTAAAATACAAGCTTAGCTGTGGCATTCGCAGTCAATGGTCAGTGGCTCTGCCTCTTGTTCATCACACAAGGTCCGCATATCGAAAAAGGCGGTCCGTGGTCCTCGTACTAGTATCCTATATTCTGTCTTGAATGGTAAGCCAAGTCAGCGTACTGCAAGGACTAGGATGAACTAGTAAAATGGCTGTCTGACGAGTGTGCAGATATGTATTGTCCATGTACTAGAGTGCGCTCTTTGTTCTACCTAGTAAGACAATTCAGCACAATCGTAAGACAGCCGTCTTAATATCTAGTTGTTGTTTTTTTTTTCGTACTACACTGCCTTCAACCAGTAGGATAAGGATCGAACTAGTATACATTGATCTTAGCTGGATGTGAACGATGGAAGTGATTCTGTACTAGCAGCCATTTCTTTCTGGGGCTGCAGCTCACACACTTGGCCGCAGATGTACCTGGGCATCAACAAGTGCACGGCTAGAATGGAATTCGTCGTTTATGTTGGAAAGTCCGTGCAAGTTGCCACCACGCACATCATTTCTTTGAGTCATGCTTGTCACCAAACTTCAACTGACTGACAAATGCGGTTGCGTCTCACGAACACCATCTTGCCGTCCTCCCACTCCCAACACGACTTCATTGAAGTCGTCCACCGATTGATCAGAGGCAGCTGCGCTCACCAGATGAAGTCGGTGCAGTGGCTGCAGAAGGTGGGCTGCTTGAAGAAGCGCGCGATGAATTTGTGGTCCTTCACTTCGTGGACGTTTTTCTGACGCAGGGCTCCTTGGCGAGCGAAGCCCCTCATGGGCTGCCTCGGTCCGTCCTCGCCGTCGCTGTTCGCCGCCCC